ATGAGGTCTCGCTGCCCAGGCGGGTCTTGAACCCGCGGGCTCAGGTAATCCACTCACCTCGGCCTCCCAAAGGCGCAGGATTACAGGCTGAGCCACGAGCCCGGCTTATTCTAGTAACCTTATATAAGTGAAAGCACTTGTCCTTTTGTGACTAGCAAGTTTCATGTAGATAATGACCTCAAGATTCATCCATGTTGTAGCATGTGTCAGAATTTCCTTTTTAAGGCTGAATAATATTCCATTCTATGTATATGTCACATGTTGTTTATCCGTTCATCCATTCATGGATATTCGAGTTCTTTCCATCTTTTGGCTGTTGTTAATAATGCTGTGAGCCGGGTTTGGTGGCTCAGCCTGTAATCCCGCGCCTTTGGGAGGCTGAGGTGAGTGGATTGCCTGAGCCCGCGGGTTCGAGACCTGCCTGGGCAACTTGGCGAGACATCATCTCTACAATAAATCAAAAAACTGAGCTGGCTGTGGTAGCGCGCACCTGTAGTTCCAGCTACTTGGAAGGCTGAGGTGGAAGGATCGCCGGAGCCCAGCAGGTCAAGGCTGCAGTGGCCGGGAGCGGCCACTGCACTCCAGTCTGGGTGACAGAGTGAGACTCCGACTCAAAAAAAAAATAATAATAATGCTGTGAACATGGGTCTCCAGTCTGGGTGACAGAGTGAGACTCCGACTCAAAAAAATAATAATAATAATGCTGTGAACATGGGTCTGTGTTTTTGTTTTTCATTAAGGCTAGTTGGTGTTTTGTTATTAAGATGGGAGAAATTGCAGGGAGCTTGTTGGATGACAGGAGTGCAAAACCCAGAGGACCAACTGACCAGGGAAGCTGGCTGGCTCCAGAGCTGGGAAGAAGGTGGCCTGCTGGGAGAGGTGGAGGCACATGAAGGGGAGAATAGAGGAGGTTCATGGCCTAGCACTGAGGTCCACTGGGGAGGCCAGCTGTTTACTGACCTCCAAGGATGGGTCTGTTCCTGGACCCAGAGACATGGGAGGGCTGTGACAGCCAGGTCTAGGCTACAACCTTTGCCCAGAAACAAGCCTTTGAGCAGTGGGTGGCCAGAGGCTGCAGCCAGAGGCAGCCAGCTTGGTCCTGACTTCCAGCCAGCCCAGTGGTCCTGGGTGGTACAAGAGGAAAAAGATCACTGCATCTTCAGAGCTGTGTGTAGAGTCCAGCTGTGTGTCTCCAGGGCTCAGAAATCATCTGTATTCCCAAGCAGGTTCTCCCTATGCCCTCTGCTGCCCAGTCCTCTCTCCAGGGCCCTCCAGAGACGCCACACTTTGGGTGAGCACAGCCAAAAGGAGTATGTAAACTAAGAATTATAAGCCCTCAACTGACTGAACAGACCATCTCTTGGCCAAGAGGAGCCCAGGATGACCTCGAAAACTGAGTTCTGGGTCACAATAGGGTAGAAGATCTGATATGCCTTGTTATTCTCACACCTTACTAACCACTACAAGGGAGGACCTCCCCCAAAACTTATTTATAAGAGATTATGTACTTTTTTGTTGTTTTGTTTTGAGTTGGAGTCTCACTCTGTGGTCCAGACTGGACTGCAGTGGCACAATCACAGCCACTACAGCGTTGATCTGCTGGGCTCAGGTGATACTTCCACCTCAGCCTTCCAAGTAGCTGGAACTACAGGCACATGCCATCATGCCTGGCTAATTTTTTAATTTATTGTGGAGATGAGGTCTTGCTAAGTTGCCCAGGTTGGTCTTATACCCCCGGGCTCAGGCATTCTCTCCTCTACCTCCCAAAGTTTGCGATTACAAGTGTGAGCCTCCATACCCAGTAGATTGTGTACTTCGTCATCTTCATAGTACTCTCCATTTGATACAATACACCTATTGAGATGCTTTTTTCACTACTCAAAGGTTTTTGAACTTGTCAATTTTGATGCCTTTTAGTGCTTCCACTATTTTTGGTTTTGCCTCTTCCACATAGGCAAAATGTTTCCCTTTGAGGACTTTTTTCATCCAGGGGGGTAAAAAAAGTCACTTGGGGTGAGATTGGGTGAATAAGGAGGGTGAGACACAAGTGTCATGCCTTTTTTGGTAAAAAAAAACAAAACAAAAAAACTGCTGAACACTCAGCCCGGTGTGGGCAGGTATGCTGTCATGGTGGAAGAATCAGTTACTGCTGTTTGCTGCAACTTGGGACATTTCTTTCACAAATCATGACACAACCTTCTCAAAGTTTTCAGATAGAAACTGGTTGACTGTTCCAGAGAAAAAATTCCAAGTGTATTACAAGGGGCCTGCCTTCCAAAAGATAATTCTGGGGTTTCTTTGGGTGCTACCCCCATATTAGGCTATCTTCCTTACAGGAAAACAGAAACCAGCCCTTTCAAAAGACTTCACCACAGATATCAATCAACACCTGACACTGCCCCTCATTTTTTGCCTGATAAGAGAACACCAACTACAGAGTGGTTCTGGCCAGTCCATGAAGGGTGTACAGTAAAGGTTTTCATGTCCCCTTGCTGACATCACATCCCCTGTTTTCATGTTCACCTGTTGACATAAGAAGGCTGAAAATTTTACCCTTGGGTCATGCTAATGCTGCCATTTTATGAACATGGGTCCCAGGAAGGGACATGAGCTTCATTTGTTCCGGGGCATGTTTCTCCTTTCATAAACACTCTTGACCCCTCCTATAGCTTACTGAATAAGTATATTCAGCCACCTTGGTCAGCATAAATTCCTGTCTTATTCTTCCCTCTCCCAAAGTGTCTGTTTCTGGCTTCTGGCCGAAGGCAATCCAGCCTACCAGAATGGCCACCCTGCAGGCTGAAACCCTTTATGAGAAATAAAGCTCTCCTTTCCAAATTGATGAGCCTTGTCATGGGTTCAGTTGACAGGCATCATACTATCCATTGTATTGGTGCCAGGTGGGGTACAGTGTGTTGCTCTGTGGGTTCTTTAGAAAAGCATTTTAGAGCAAGTCCCAAGTATAGTTTAAGACAGAATTTTCTAGAAATAGACATCCCAAGTATAGTTTAAGAAAGAATTTTTTTTAGAAATAGACGCGTTTTATGGTTCCCTTAAAATAAGGCACATGCTCACCTTTGACAAGAAGTTTTATATACTTTTACAACCATAATTAAGCAAACCATGAACTAAGAGCAGTGGGCTACAGTCATCTCTTTTGATTACCATCTCTCAACCTTGTAAGGTCACAGACTCCTAAATAATTCAAGTTATTGGCTAACTAGATTTTGGCTTTTCTTATTACATCATGTCTATGTATTGGGTAATTCCCTATTGTTTCTGTGATCTACTGCACTGATAGATCCACATTCCAGCCCGCAAGGTGGTCAGGTCTGGTGTGCCTGGTCAGTAGGGTGGAGGTTGTGTACCGATAAGAAAGATGTGAAGCCGGGTGCAGTGGCTCATGCCTGTAATCCCAGCACTTTGGAAGGTAGAAGTGAAAGGATTGCCTCAGCCCAGGGGCTCAAGACCAGCCTGGGCAACCTGGCAAGACCTCGTCTCTACAATAAGTTTTAAAAAATTAACCAGGTGTGGTGGCTCATGCCTGTAGTTCCAGCTACTTGGAAGGCTGATGCAGAAGGATGGCCTGAGTCCAGCAGGCTGAGGCTGCAGTAGCCATGAGTGTGGACTGTACTCCAGCCTGGGCAACAGAGTGAGCCCCTGACCCCCGCCCAAAAAAAGCCTGAACACTTACCTTATTTTGTTTTATTTTTTTGGTAGAGACAAGGTCTCACTATGTTGCTCAGACTGGTATTGAATTCCTCACTTCAAGCAGTCCTCCTGCCTTGACCTTCCAAAGTGCTGGGATTATAGGTGTAAACCACCATGCCTCGGCAATTCAAAAACAAAAACAAAAACTTATCTATGTCTAACCTGCACTGAATAACATGCATCATTATGTGTGAGGTCTGTGGGAGAAGCACTCTGACTCCAGAACACTGTGGGCTTGTCCTGCCCTTCCTCTCCCTGCACATGGCAGGACAGTGGGGACAGAGTCCTTGGCCTCAGGTTCACAGCTCCCCATTCCAACCACGCTCACAGGACTCAGGGTAGGGTTGGCTGAACCCGGTGGGAGGGGGTAACTACATTGTTCCTGCAGAAGGCACAGCTGCCCTGAGATTTGGAGGGTGTCAGCTCCCTGAGTTCTGCTCCTTCCCCCAGACTGCCACCCAGGTAGAGATAAGGCCTCAGGTTCAAAGGCCAGAGAGGGAGCCAGCAGGGACAGGCGGAGCTGAAAGCCCTATCCTCCCCCCACCTTCACTAGGCCTAGAGATTGGGATCCTGCCCCAACCTCTTCCTGACCCCGAGAACCCCTGCCAGGTGGCAGCCAAGGCCGAAGTCCCAACTTTAGGCTCCCTTCCTGTTTGTGTTGGAGCTTTGGACATTTCCTGGGGATTCTCTCCAGGGGCCCCTGAGGAGGGGAGCATGACTCAGCAGGCACTCTTTTGGTTCCCTTAGACTCCAGCCCACTGCAGTACCCACCAGAGATCCCAGCCCAGGACCTAGTAAGAAGGTCCTGTGTCCCCATCCCCAGCTGGGGCAGCAAAGGCTCTGGAGGTTATCTAGGCTAACCACACTGGGAGCAGCTGGAAAGGGCAGAGGTGTGGGCCTGGGGGACTCCGGTGTGATTGTGTAGGGTCCAAGCACCTTTGTCCCAGGTCTCCCAACTTAGGGACAGCCCCCAGAGAAAGGGTCACAGAAGTGGATACCCTGGCCCTAGGGGGCCAGAGGAGGTGGCCCTGGTCCACCACTCTGGGAAGGTGGTAGGCAGGGGAGCAGATGGATGCCCAGATCCCCACACAGAGGAAGAGGCCCAGTGCTTGCCCCCCCATGAGCTGGGGCCCAGGCTGTGGGGTAGGATCTGCCGCTGGAATGGTTAACCCAGGAACCTCCAGCAGCCAATCACAGAGCCCTGCAGGAAATACCTGGGAGAGGTCCTCGTGTTGGGGCCGGGCAGATCAGCCCAGCCCCAGTCTGGCCCCAGGCAACCTGAGCAGCCCTTAGCCAGCCCAGACTCACTCGGCCTCCCCACAGCAACGCCAGCAAGTTGGAGCTGAGTATGGTAGTCCTGGCCGGGCTTAAGCCTGGACTGCTGCTGGCCATGCTGATGGTGACAGCAGCAGCGACAGCAACAGCGACAGCAACCCCACCCGCCAGTCTACTGAGCCTGCTTACCTCCGGCCAGGGCTCTCTGGACCAAGAGGCACTGGGCGGCCTGTTAAATACGCTGGCGGCCCGTGTGCAGTGCACCGAAGGGCCGTGTGGAAAGGTAACAGCCCCACCCGACGGGTCCCCCAGCCCCAGCCCCTTCCTGCCCGCTCCACCCTGCCGGCCAGCTGCAAAGGGCCCTGGGCAAACTCCAGTAGGCGGGCCAAGGCTTATGGCTGAGCACTTGGGCACCCTGGACCTGCCTGTAGGCCTGAGCCCATCCCCCTCCGCTCAGGGGCTCACACAGGCCTGCTCTCTCCAGGGACGCACAGCTGCATTTCTCCCCAGAGCCCCCACCCCACCTCTTCTTGCTGTCCCCCAGGCCATCAAATTGGTAGTGGCTCCAGGAAAAGAACACCTGGGGGGCTGGGGAACCCTGCTAGGGACCCCACTGTGTGCACTCATGTCACTGAGGCAAGCAGAACCAGGGCCTGGGGAGAGGAAAGGGCAAGGGGGTGTGAGAGAGAGGATGGTGGAGGGGTGCTGAATGTGAAGGAGAGCAGAGAGGGGCCCTCTCAGGGAAGTGGCAGCTCCTGGCATACAGGCTCTCTTGGCCCGAGCCTGCCTGTCCCTTCCTGGTGGACCCAGCCTGGCCCCAGCCCACCCGTCTCTGCCCACAGTGCCTGTCTGTAGAGGATGCCCTGGGCCTGGGCATGCCTAAAGAGCCAGGGCCCCTGCCGGGACCAGTCCTGGAGTCCAGGTACATTGCCCACCTTAGCGCCGCTGCCACCCTCTACCTCAGCAATCCTGAGGGCACGTGCGAAGATGTTCGGGCTGGCCACTGGGCCTCTCATGCAGACCATCTCCTGGCCCTGCTTGAGGGCCCTAAGGCCCTCATCCCAGGCCTGAGCCGGCTGCTGCAGAGTATCCAGACACAAGCTGTGAGACAGACCACTGAGGAGGAGGTGAGGGTCTAGGCAGGTTGGCTAGGGCTGAGGGTAAGGGAGGTCCCAGGACCAGCGAAGTGGAGCTACTTAGGGAGCTGGGCCTGGCTGCATGGGTGGAACATTCTTCTGCAAAGGTTTCAGGGCACCTGGGGGCATATGGGGATACACTCAGGAGGCTGGAGTGGGGTAGGGATTCATAAAGGGATATAGTTGGGGACTACAGGAGCCCCAGGAGGGTCCTTCACCAGAGATTGGGGGCCAAGAAGGCTCTGGAGCCCCAGGGAAAAACCCAGAGGGCAAGGTGGGAGCCGGCTGAGGCCAAGCCCAAGTCTTAAGTGAGAAAGAGGCGGTGCTGAATCTGCAAGTGCTTTGAGGAGGTTGGTGGAGCAGATCCTGGGAGTCAGTGGGAAATATCTCTGGGGGGTCAATGGCAAAGATGAAGGCTAGTAAGTCACGGCCATCTCATCCTCCAGACTTGCGTAGACATTCCTCAATTGCTGGAAGAAGCAGAGGGGGCCGGGGCTCCAGGCAGCCCTGGTGCAGTCCTAGCTGCCTTGCTGGACCATATCGTGAGTGGGTCCTGCTTCCGTGCCTTGCCGAGCCCTCAGTACTTTGTGGACTTTGTGTTCCGGCAGCACAGCGGCGAGGCTGTCAATATCACACTGGCTGGTAAGGCCTGGGCTAGGCACAATGGAGGGGGGAGGGAGTACCTAAACCCCCAGCTTCCATGTCCCTGGGGGTCAGAGCTGGAGCCCACACAGACTTGGTGCACCTACTCTGTTTTCCCTACCAGAGCTGTCGGCTTTGATGCAGCGCCTAGGGGTGGGCAGAGAGGTCCATAGTGACCACAGTGACCACAGTCATCACAGGGAGGCCAACCATCAGGACCCTGTGCCCTTTGCCACCTCAAACAACAGCTCCAGTGTGTGGGACATGGTAAGTAGCCTGTGGGTTAGGGTCCTGGGGTAAGATGGGGCCCCTCAGGCCTGCTCAGGCCCCTGACCCTGTTCTACCACTCCCCAGGTATGCCTGAGCGCCAGGGATGTAATGGCTGTGTATGGGCTGTCGGAGCAGTCTGGAGTGACCCCTGAGGCCTGGGCTCAACTCAGCCCTGCCCTGCTCCAGCAGCAGCTGAGTGGGGCCTGCAGCCTTCAGCCCAGCCTCCCAATCCAGGACCAGCTCAGCCAGGCAGAGAGTGAGTGCCCACTTGCCCCGAGTTGTGCTGGCAGTGCAAAGGTGGGGGTCTTGCAGGGAGGAGGGAATGGCCACTGAGGATAGGCAGTGTAGAGAAAACTGGGCAGGGGCTGAAGATAGAAAGAGTAGATGCAGGAAAACGTGGGGGGCTTGGAGGGGAGTGGGACTTTGAGGCAGGAGGGTCAGCATGAGCAGAACCTGGCCCACTCTGACCACCTGCAGCCCTGGTAAGCCCTAGGGTGCCCCCCTAAGCAGGGACTGGGGAGCACAGGCAAGGAAGGAGGCTCTCATGGAGGCCTCAATCTGCCCCCCACCAGAGTATCTATATGGCTCCCTGGCCACGCTGCTCATCTGCCTCTCCGCGATTTTTGGCCTTCTGCTGCTGACGTGCACTGGCTGCAATGGAATCACCCACTACGTCACACAGACCTTTCTGGGCCTGGCGGTTGGTGCACTCACAGGCGATGCCCTCCTGCACCTGACACCCAAGGTCTGCCCTTCCCTGCCAGGACCCTCCCTTCCTGATGGATCTCCCAGGCCATATTCCCCCCGTCCCCAACCTATCGCCCCTTGTCTGGGGGTGAGGGGGACCTGGGGCCTCCAGCTCAGCACTCCCTGCTCACCAGGTGCTGGGGCTGCACATGCACAGTGATGAGGGCCTAAGCCCACAACCTACCTGGCACCTCCTGGCCATGCTGGCTGGGCTCTACATCTTCTTCCTGTTTGAGAACCTCTTCAACCTTCTACTGCCCAGAGACCCAGAGGTCAGGCTCCTTGATACTGGACTGGGTGGTTGGGTGGACTGGGGGCTTGGTGGGCCCTGAACAGCTACTCCCACAGGACTCAGAAAAGGACGGGCCCTGCAGCCACGGGAGCCACAGCCATGGGGGCCACAGCCACGGTGTGTCCCTGCAGCTGGCACCCAGTGACCTCAGGCAGCCTAAGTCATCCCACCAAAGCTCCCACGCAGACCTGGTGAGTGGGTGCCAGATTCCCCACCCCATGTGGAGCCCCCTCCACGGACCCTTCCCACTCTCACACTCGAAGCCCCACCCAAAGCCCTGTGCCCCTGCCTCCAGCACTGATCCTGGGATTCGCCACTGCACCCCTCCTCCACCACCCCGTCAGAGGCTCACCCACACTCCTCCCAGGTGGCGGAAGAGAACCCAGAGCTGCTGAGCCTGGAGCCCCGGAGACTGAGCCCAGGTAGGCCTTAAGGGAGACCGGGGCTGAGGGACCTGTGGTTTGTGCAAGGAGTGGGTGAGTCCTGGGGGCGCGGTAGTGTGGGGACAGGCCAGACTCACGGCCACCATGCCCGCAGAACTGAGGCTGCTACCCTATGTGATCACACTGGGCGACGCCGTCCACAACTTCGCAGACGGACTGGCCGTGGGCGCCGCCTTTACGTCCTCCTGGAAGACCGGGCTGGCCACCTCGCTGGCCGTGTTCTGCCACGAGGTGCCGCACGAGCTGGGTGAGCGCTGGGGCGGGGCCTGCCGTGGCGGGTGCGTCAGTGGGCGGGGCTATTGACGTGATCCTGCCCTCAGGGGACTTCGCGGCTTTGCTGCACGCTGGATTGTCAGTGCGCCGAGCGCTGCTGCTGAACCTGGCCTCAGCGCTCACAGCCTTTGCTGGCCTCTACGTGGCGCTTGCAGTCGGAGTCGGTGAGGAGAGCGAGGCCTGGATCCTGGCTGTTGCTACCGGCCTGTTCCTCTACGTGGCGCTCTGCGACATGGTCAGGATGGTGTGGGGAGGGGGCTGCTCCAGGGATGGGAACTGACCAGGGGAGCCAAGCTGGTTGCTGACCCGGTACCCACCTGCTCCTCAGCTTCCGGCCATGCTGAACGTGAGGGACCAGCGGCCCTGGCTGCTCTTCCTATTGCACAACGTGGGCCTGCTGGGCGGCTGGACCGTTCTGCTGCTACTATCACTGTACGAGGACAACATCACCCTCTGATATCCCTGCCCCAGTCTTGGACCTTTGACTCTGACTCCCACCCCTGCGTTATCTCAGCCCCTTGGACCTACCAGGCACCCCTAAGCCTATAGCCCAGAAACTAGGAGGCCTTTAAGAATCCCCAGCCCCAACTCCAATAAACACACTCTTGTCCTTGGAGCCCAGCTGTGTTTTCCTTGCTGGGAGGTAAAGACCTTCAGCTGAGAAAGGCCAAGGAGTGTGGCACTACCTCCTTCCCCACAAGAGTGCCTGGCCCCAAGAAGAAGCCCTCCAGGCAGCCAGCCCCAGGCCCCTCCTCTGTGATGTGGAGACCCTGCCTGAGGAATGGGGTCAGAGGAATTCTCCAGTGTGCGTAGGCAGTAAATGGGGTCAATCAGTAAGCAAACTTGTTTACTCATAGCAGAAAAGCCAAAATAACTAACAGTGCTTACACAGATGGGGGCTTATTTCTCTCTCTCATAGAAAACAAACTTGAAGATCAGACTACAGTGTGTGGCAGCCCCTGTCCCCAGGGCCTGGGTCTTTTCCATTGTCCTCAACAGATGTGTCCATCCTCAGAGTTCTCCTCAGGCTGGCATAATACAGCCTACCACAAGCTGGGTGCCTTAAAACCAGAAATTTATTCTCATAGTTCTGGAGGCTAGAAGTTCAAAATCAAGGTGTCAGCAGAGCCATGCCCCTTCTGAAGTCTCCAGGGGAAGAGGCTTTTTCTTGGTTGTGGCAGCATAACTCTGATCTCTGCCTTTGTCTTTACATGACCTTTTTTCTTGTGTCTGTCTCTTCTCATAAGGACACCAATTACATTGTATTGCCAGCCCACCCTATTCCAGTATGACCTCATCTTAACTAATTCTGTCTGTAATGATCCTATTTCTTGCTTCCTTTTTTTTTTTTTGAGTTGGAGTCTCTCTCTGTCGCCCAGACAGACTGGAGTGCAGTGGCCGCTCCCGGCCACCGCAGCCTCGACCTGCTGTGCTCCAGCAATCCTTCCGCCTCAGCCTTCCAAGTAGCCGGAATTACAGGCATGCGCTACCATGCCCAGCTGATTTTTTGATTTATTGTAGAGATGAGGTCTCGCTACCCAGGTGGGTCTCGAACCCACGGACTCAGGTAATCCACTCACCTCAGCCTCCCAAAGGCGCGGGATTACAGGCTGAGCCACTGAGCCTGGCAATGATCCTATTTCTAAGTCACATTCTGAAATGCAGGGGGTTAGGTCTTCAACATATCTTCAACAACTGTGTGGACACAATTCAAATCATAACATTCTAGGGTTCAAAATGGCTGCAAGAGCTCTAGCTATCACATGCACTCTATAGGTAGCAGAAAGGAGGCAGGCGGAAAGAGCAAAAGAGGTAAGGAGCCCAGGAAGCATCACACCCAGCTTGCCATTCACTCAGTATCACAGGTACATGAACAGACAACCAGAGGACCATCTCATGCTCCCCAGGCCTACTTGTGCTGGAGGGAGGAAGGAACCACATGGAGGGATCTGAGGCAAATTGGGCAGGAAAGGCCATGTTTTAGACCTCCTTGACCTGACACTCGTCCCCAGGACTAGGAGATGGGGGGAGCATGGGAAAACCATATGCCCCAGCGGACTCCAAGAGACTGACTCTTCAAGAACCCTCACCAATCCCACAAGAGATGTTTAGCATTTGCCACCTCCCTCCTTAACCCATCCCACAATACTGTGGGGGGTGGGAGAAGTGCAGAAAACCACCAGCTCCCAGCACAGTGCCTGCCCCAGGGGAACCTTGAATATGTCCTGGAAAGCAGCATCCACTAGTCCTGTGCTGCAGGGCTGAGGGAGGACTCAGCTAGCTTTTGGAGAGCAAGGATCTTTGAGCAGTGAAGCTGAGAGCTCCAAACCTCCTAGGACTTTTACTGGGAGCCCCATCACTCTCTCCTCAGCCTATGCTGGTTCAGATGCCCCTTTCTACATGCCCTGCATCACTATCTTGTCCATTACAATCCCTCCCTGATCCCCTCTCCAGTGCTTCCAAACTCCACCTCTACTGACAGGCTTATTTCATCTCTCTCTCTCTCATTATTATTAGAGTCGAAGTCTCACTTGTTGCCCAGTCTGGAGTGCAGTGGCATGCTCACAGCCACCGCAGCCTCAACCTGCTGGGCTCAGATGATCCTTCAGCCTCAGCCTTCCAAGTAGTTGGAACCACAGGCATGTGCCACAATGCCTGGCTAATTTTTTTTTTTTTTAGAGACAAGATCTCACCAAGTTTTCCAGACTGGTCTGGAATGCCTGGGCTCAGGCAAACCTCTTGCCTCCACCTCCCAGATTGCTGGGATTACAGGCGTGAGCCACCATGTCTGGCTATTTCACCTCTTATTGAAGAAGGTCACCAGGCAGGCCTGCCTCTGTCTTCCCACTCCAGCCCTGCAGCCCCAGCCCCTCTGTCACCCTCTTTTTCTCCTCTGACAAATAGGGCAGGATCTTAGGCTCATCCTACCTGCTGCCACCCTCCCTAAGACTGCTCCTCCAGTATCCCTGGCTCTTTCCACACTAACCACCCCTCTCCCACAGATGAGCTCTTTTTCATTTGTAAGGACGTTGCTGTGTGGCAGGTCCCTCTGAGAGTTCTGTGGGCACTGCCTTGTTTAATCAGAACAAGAGGCCCTGGGATGTAGGAACCAGGGCTTTACTCATGTGTCCTAGGTGAGAGTTTTCTTCTGACTTTTTTTTTTCCAAGTCGGAGTCTCACTCTGTCACCCAGGCTGGAGTGCAGTGGCATGATCACTGCCACTACAACCTCAACCTGCTTGGCTCAGGCGATTCTTCCACCTCAGTCTTCCAAGTGGCAGGAACTACAGGTGCATGCCACCACACCTGGCTAATTTTTGATTCATTATAGAGGCAAGGTCTTGCCAAGTTGCCCAGGCTGGTCACGAACCCCTGGGCTCAGGTAATCCTCTTGCCTCTGCTTCCCAAAGTGTTGGGATTACAGGTGTGAGCCACCATGCCTGGCCTTTTAAAAGGGGTTGGTAGCCTGGGCAAAATAGCGAGACCCTATCAATACAAAAAAAAAGTTAGCCGGGTGGTGGTTCATGCCTGTAGTCCTAGCCACTTCAGAGGCTGAGGCAGGAAGATTGCTTGAGCACAGATGGATGAGGCTGCAGCAAGCCATGATTGTACTAGTGCACTCTAGTCTGGGTGGTAAAGCAAGACCCTGTCTCAAAAATAACATCAATAAAATAAAAAGAGATTGGGTGTGGCTCAAGGGTCACACACCTGCCTGGGTATCCAAGTGGCCCTTCATCCATTGTTCAATGAGTAACAGATTCGGATGTGATGCAAACACATATTTCTATGCCATTGTCTTGGGTATCACTATACTTCTAGATTTTCTTGTTTTATTTCTTTTATTTATTTATTTATTTTTGAGTTGGAGTCTCACTGTCGCCCAGACTGGAGTGCAGTGGCCGCTCCCGGCCACCGCAGCCTCGACCTGCTGGGCTCCGGCGATCCTTCCGCCTCAGCCTTCTGAGTAGCCGGAATTACAGGCATGCGCTACCACGCCCGGATGATTTTTTGATTTATTGTAGAGAGAAT